ACAAAAAATGTAACATAATTCTTGAGGTAATCATTAGTAACACACTGGAAAGTATTTGAAATGCTGGTTAAAAGCACAGAATTGGCTCTTCTAAAGTTTTTTTTTTTTACAAGCATGAGAACACAAGCCTCACTTTTAACATCAAGACAAAACAGCAGACTTTACCCGACTTGTGCACACAGCATGATTACTGTGTATGTTATCCTGGCAGTTGGTAGCTTTTGCAATGGCACATCTGTGGTATTGTCTCTCACTGCATGTCTACTCAAAATGCTTCTTGAGCTAGCATACTACATCTTCACTTTGAGTAGTACTCTGGACAGCTAACAGTCACTGTAAAGTTAAGGTGATACACTGGACTAGGAGATACTTAGAGAGCATGAATTTATTTTGATAAATTACCCCATAAAAAAGTTTACTTAAACAACACCAAATTGTAAGCAACTAATTAATTAAAGATGCAACAATGGCTTGGCCAGGGACCATCTACTTGGAACAGCCTTATGCTATTCAGAGCTCAGAGCCAGCCAGAAGCTGCTCTGAAAAAAAAAAACAGTTACAAGAAAAATTATGAAAATTTAAAAAAATGTTAAAGAAAGAGAGGTCAACATAATTTTATCTGTTAAATTTATAAACATACTGGAAATAATGCAACTACCTGACATTTGTTTTGTTATATAAATCAACCTGCTTACGTTTGGTAAGTTAAGATATGTCAGATAACAGTGGGTATATACCAACTCATTTCTGTTAATTATTTGTACCTCTTTTCACTGTTTAAAAAAGAGAAGATCCTGTTATTTAATGCAATTTGGGGGATTTAGAAAGTTTAATTATTTCTTTTAGTATGAAAATAATATTTTACTTTGAGAAAAGTTGAAAAGTTTGTTTGTATATGCTGTAAGTTATAGTTTTTAGAAAAAAAATCAGAATCAGCAAAAAAAGGAACTTGGAAGCAAACAACCAAATTGCAATTGGTGCATTTGCTTTTGTGTTCACAAACAAATAATTACATTTTATATGCTGTAATTACACTGGAATTCTATAAGCTACATAACTTTGCTGGATTAGACCCGGGTTATAGGGCACTTCACGAAGGTAAAAATGACTGGAACCACGGGGGGAAAAAAAACCTTTTTGGGGGTTGATATAACTTATTTACGCTCTATATTAACTAGAAAATACAACAAGGAACGTGTCTGCTTAGGGTCAGTTGTGATCAGTTTTTAATTACTGACACTCCTGAATCATAACGGTGACCCGTGTATTTTATCCATAAGATTCGGGCTAAAGTTGTGGAACATTTAAAGAGATTACTTTCAACATGATGAGGGAATACATTAAATTGATATGGAGTATCATCAGAGGATTTGTGATATGCTCAAGAACTCTCACTCTCTGGACTCTGAATTTACGTAAGTATGCTTGTGAATGAACAGGGCCTAATGTTGCTGTCACACAAACATTTAAATTTCCTAGCACAAACAATTTTCTTCTGCCAATTTTCATCATGTTTTTTTAACAGGCTGAGGTTTATTTTAATATACGATTCTATTCTACTTTTACATATTATAAGTTTTGATCATAGTAAAATACCTTTCCTTTCTGCAAAGGACCTCATAACTTCATTAACCACTTTAAAACATCTGCCAGTTTAATTTCAGGCATGAAGTGGATTCACAAATCTTTAAGACTTGTAAATCTATACAACTATTTTAAACAACAATGCCTGTTTGAATTTTAGGCTTAATGATTTGATTTTTGTAATATCACTCGCACCTTTCACTTTTCTTATCTATTTAAAAATATATTTTGTAATGCAGTTACAGCCACATAATGTTAATTCCAAATAGACAGACAAGAACGTGGAGTCTGTTTTAAAATTCTTATCTTCACATAACTTTAAAGCCAAGTACCTTTGTGTTACCTTTGTGTAAATTCCCTCTCTTTTTAACAACTGAGAGGGAATTTACACAAAACGTTATAAACTTAATGTTTCTGGACTACCAGGACCAATAAACAGCATTATAAACCTTGTGATCTGAGTAGTTCAGTGTATAGTTCAGTGTGTGGTTGGTTAGCTCAGTGGAACGAGAACTGGTTTACAAAACTAAGCTGCTGAAATTTTTTGATATTGTTACTTCTCTCTGGGTTGAGGCAGTTTTGTTTATTTCATTTTGTTGTAATCATTAAAATACTGATATAAAACCATTCTTGAACACATACTTTCTCTTGCTAGAAAGTCAGACAACACTCAGAAAGTATGTCAAGACAACAGTAAACTCACATCTGCAACCTTGGCACAACTCATATTCGAACTCTATGTGGAACTATTTCTCTACAAAGACTAGATAACAAAAAAGATTAACATCCTATTCAATATCACAGTGTCTGCTGAGTTTATTTTGTGACTCTTTGCTGGGTTCAGACCCCAGATATGTTAATCAGGTTGGCGATAACCTGCCTCAGGTTGACTATTTTCTTCTGAAATTTAAAAAAGTCAGACAGGAATCTCTGTTAGACGTGTTCTCTACAAGCTTGACTAAAAAGAAAAACAATGCATATGAGTTCAAAACTGCAGAAGCGTCCAAAAACATGTGTGGATGAAGCCTGTAAAAGTTTTTGGCATACATTTTGTGGACATCTGTGGCTGGCAAGATAACTGCAAACATGGTACCATGAATAAACATGTTAGCACTTGTCACCCATAAGAATGATTGTTTCTAGTCCCTTTATATTTTTAACGTAGGTGTTTTCCCCTTGTCAGTATAGTCTGCCATAATTGTGCAAAAAATGTTTACCGAGCATCAAAACTACTTCTCAGATCGATAAATTGAAGCTAAATTAAAGCTACGTCCACACTAATGCGTTTTTGTTTGAAATCGCATAGTTTTCTCTCCGTTTTGGCCTCCTGTCCACACTGAGATGGCATTTTCCTCAAGGAAAAACGCAGCGTTTTGAAAACGCTCTCGAAAACGCATATATTTCAAAACAGAGCTGTCCCATCGCAGTGTGGACACTCGAAAACGCAGACTAAAACGATGACGCATTTTAGTCATGTGATGCAGTCATGTGACCAATTAAACAAAGATAGCGGAGGGCATTATACAGCGGTTGTTTTGATTGCTCTCAATTTTGACAGCCCTAAAAAAGATTAATATCAGTTTGTACATGCTCCAGATAGCTTTTATTCAAATTCTTTAATTCTTACCCACTTTTGCGCATGCGCAGGACTGGAACATAGGCGTTTTTGGCCATTTCAATGTGGACGCACAACTCTGTGAAAACGACTGTAAACGCTAGCGTGGACGCGGAGCGTTTTCAGATGAAAACGCCGTTTTCAAATCTATCTGGGCTAGTGTGGACGTAGCCTAAATTAACATAATTCAGACAGTGAGGTTTCACCCCAAACTCCTGTTTCACATCTGACTCAAACCCCGTGCAGCAGTTTCCTCAATTTTGGACTCACAGTCAACTTTTGAATCCTATAAGTCAAAGGTAAGGGTTTACTACTTAACTTACATAGGTCAACTGATGTTGCTGTAAAATCTCTACCATTATGTGCGTGAATGAATCTGAAAGGCAGAGGTCAGTTACAAATTGAAAAAACACTTTGAAGGAAATAGTGGAATTATTAATAAAAGTTTCTAATTTTTTAGAACCTTAATGTACCAGTAAACTTTTATATCTTAAGGAATATAAAATTATTTGGTGCTGCTGTTTCAGAGTCTACAGAACTACAAAGATTAAACAAACTGAGCAAATTGACTATGAAAATAATGGCATCACTTGATCTGTGGTATCACTGGCTACCATTCAGAGCTGCAAAGTCAGAAATTCACAGGATGCTCCTAGTTTGGTCCCAGAATATCTCCCAATGTAATGGGCTGCTACCTCAGGTGGAGTGTGTCTTGAGAGTATTTTCAGCTCTACGGCGATGTCTTTCGGCTCTCTCTCAGGATGCTGTCCAGGCCATTCAGCTGGCGGAGGAAACCTCGGTTAGGGATGACACCTCTGTGGTCTTTTACTGTCTTGATGGCCTCCACAAGCGTCAGATTTTGTCTGATCATCAAGTAGGCTAGCACCAGAGTAGCTGAGCGGCTCACTCCCACAGTACAGTGGACCAGAACCTTACCTGCACATACCAAAAAACATAATCACAAGTCCACGCAAATTAAACAACCTGCATAGAACTCAGTAGCCATGCACACAAATAACCCAGCACATAGACAAAACTGTTTGCTTTGTATCCACTGTGGCAGAAACATCAGCGTTGTTTTAAAATGTATTTTTTTACTATTTGAAAAATGAAGTTTGTCAACAGTTATTGTTTGCTGTGTAGCAGTGGAAATATCAACAACTGCCACTGGATTACATGAATCTTTAAAACTGGAGGATTCTAAGGCGAGCTCTAAAGCCTCAGCACTCCTGTTCCATTAGTCTTGTACAATATCAATATCTTGTACAAACAAACAAACATAATGAGGCTCAGGAAAGTAAGTGTGCATTGTGATCCAGCAATTATAACTTTGGCCATACAGACATTTCATTCGCCAATAAAAAGTTGCTCAGCCTTCAGCAACACATGTAACTGCACGTATCATGACTGGATGAGTTTCAGGTTTTGCATTTTTTTTCTGTATTAGAGAGAAGCCAGTGATAAATCAATACATTCACCCATGTACAGTGGACTTTCAAAAAATCAACAAATCCTGAAGACAACAAATTATTGATGTGCAGCACACATATCAAATCTTTCATAGTGATTTTGTAATTTATTCAAACTATAAACAGGCAAAATAAATAATAAGTAATGGTGTGTTTTAGCTACAGTGAATTTGTTCCAGCTCGGGTGGAGACTTTAATGAGTAAATACTTTTATAGAGATTCAAGTAGATTTTATTGCAGCACATTTATACTTTTATTTCAGTAAAATGTTATTTTTACTGAATATACATACACTATTGTATTACTTTTATATAAGTAGCAGATTTAGGACACTTCTTCCTAAGCTGTAAAATGCTGATAATCAGCATTTGATCAGAGCATTTGTTCACTGTTTATCAAAACAGTGAAGAATACTTTTACTAGTAAACAAAGATCTAAGTACCACCAGATTTACATGAGATGATTTACGTAAAATGATAGAAACAACCTGAACTGTTCAGATCAGACAAATGAGCTACTTATTGTTGTCATATATTGTAAAAAGACAGTCTGTCACATGCTCCTCTCTGTCCACTGCTCAGCGGACATGTAACTTTATCTAGATGACCTATAATACTGGAACCTGAACCCACAGTGAGTGGAACTCTGCAGCCAGAGGTGTACAGCTGTGTTTCACTGAGTGACCATTTGGCAGCAACATAAGCACTGGAGAGGCTTCCAAATTTAGTTTCCAAATTGTACACAAATACGGTTCAAAACAGCGCTGATCATGGCGCCACCTTGCTTTCATGCAGTAACCTGAAATGTCCATTAAAAGTGGCCACATTAGAACCCTTCTTCCTTTGGGCTCCGCTCCAAACAGTCAAAATTCAGTTCATTTGCAGGAGCAAGAGTCAGCTTCAAGAGCAACAAGGCAACAGTGAGAGTGTGAATCAAAGTTCTGCATGCACAGGTTGTTGAATTTATGCAGAGGAATTTAATTCTAGATTACATTTTTTCTTGCGTGGAATTTTTGACATAAATAATTCCATAAGATTACAAAATGTTAGGTCAAAATGTTTTGCTTAAAATGGTCAGTTTGTTCTGCAATTGGAATTCCCACTCAGTCTTTTATGTATAAATAGTAGAGATGTCAAATGTAACCATCTCTGGCTCCAAAAACAACATGCCAGTGGCCACAAAACTAACATTACGCCAGATTCCAGAAATCAATGGATGATGTCACAAACTTCTATTATTTTTATACAGTCTGCAAAAGAGACATACAGAACCAGAGTGTGAGCTTGTGGATGTTTGTAAATATTACAATCTTCAGCGTGGTTTTAGGATAGCTGTGCCCCTGATCAATGCTATTAAACACAAATGGTTGCTCCCCTCATCCCAGTGCAAATTACTAGGATAAATTGATGATTTACAAAAGACTATTAGCTACCCTAAAAATATTTATACATATTTTATATAAATGTTAATAGTTTCATGTAATCAGTGTAAAGCAATATACTAAATATTTGTTAATACTTTAAAGAAAAAGCTAAATGACCAGTAAAGACAAGGGCTGTGCCCCAAATTCCTCTTTTTTTCTTCTTCACTACATTAGACATTTGCATCATTATTTAGACCTGTTGAGCCACACAAGTCTAACTATATAACACAACATTTAAGTGTTTTTGAAGAAGCAACAGCATGTAGTGGGAACATTTATAAACTAAAAACAGGGCCATTCAAATACAAATGGATGAATCTGCTAAAGCAAGGTTACATTACGTTTTCCCAGTAGTTATATAAGACTTTTCATAGATCAAAAAGAGATTCATTTAAAATGTAGAAAATACTATAGTCTGAAAATTTCTTAGGTCTTTGGGCTAGACACTTCACCCGTTGCCTACTGGTGGTGGTCAGAGGGCCCGGTGGCGCCAGTGTCCGGCAGCCTCCCCTCTGTCAGTGCGCACCAGGGTGGCTGTGGCTACAATGTAGCTTGCCATCACCAGTGTGTGAATGTGTGGATGACAGGTTGTGTAAAGCGCTTTGGGGTCCTTAGGGACTGGAAAAGCGCTATACAAATACAGGCCATTTACCATTTACCATTTAGGTCAAAGAACAGTCTTAGGTCTTAAGTCTTAGGTCAAACAACAAATGTATTTGTTTACTCTAGTAATATAATAACTCATTTTTACTTAAAATGACTTTAGTCAATATCTATCCATCAGGCCATCAGGGTTATATGGGGTTCAGTCTTGCCCCGGGATCCTTTTTTGATATGCAGAACACAGAGCTTCTAACTGCTAGATGACCTGCTATTTGAAGTGATGATTTTCCCTCATGTTATCAATTAATAATACATTTTTCATAGGCATCTTTCAAAAGAATCAAAGATACCTTGTAAGCAATTAAATAACAAAAAACAGCATGCAAAAAATAACAATTGGAAGAGCGCATAGATTCAAAAGTCAATAGATCATAAAATTAGAATCAAACACAGTAGAACAGAGAATCTACCCACACAGACCCCCACACACCCAGACTCAGACTAACCTCCACTGGTGAGGGCTTTGTGAATGAACTCGGAAGCAGGATAGAAGTTAACACTCATGTCAAAAGTTGGTGAGTCATGAGCCTCAATGCCATGATAGGTGATGTTCATCCCAGCATAATATTCGGCTCCCCCGCGCCACTTCGTCTGTGCGCAGTTGAGGATATGTGTAATGCCAAGTTTGGCCAATTCTCGTCGATCTGATGCAATGTCCCTGCAGAGGAAAGAAGGTATGTCCAGCTCTAGCAGTTAAACTGTTTTCACTTGACTACATAACTTGTATGATTTATGCTGACATGTAACTCTTATGTGACTCCTAAGCTTATGAATGAGACAAACAGATACTGCTGGGTGATGGAGCTAGATACAGATGTTGATAAAGACGTTTGCTTTAGACTAAACTACTTTCAGCTTATATGGTGGAATGCCAGAATATTTACTTCATTAAAATTAGTTCTCATTGGGTGCTCATTACTCACTCGTAATAAGTAATTGGTATTTTTATTTCTAAGTAATACGTTACTAAGAAATTAATACTTTAAGTATTTATTCACTGTTATTAAGACACTCTGAGTATTTACTTCTTCTGCCACCGTTTAGAGGTTAGAAACACTCACTGGTCTCCGATATAGAGTCGTGGCCACACTTCGTCTGCATGGTTGCAGGCCGTTTTGCCCGTGTAAAGGAGCCTTTCTAGCTCGGAGACGGTCAGGATCGGGGAGGAACGTTCAGAGTCTTTTCGGCTCGGAGACCTGGAGCTGCTCCGGGACCGAGAGAATCGAGACATGAACGCCATTAAATCTGTGAAAACAGAGATGAAAGGGACGGGGCTTTTTTATTATTATTATCATTATTATTATTGTTAAAGAAATTCACACACGCGCGCGTTCAGAATAAAACGAATATAATTAAAATATAAACTGATTGTGTGTTGTAATCCTTACGCTTATTATTTGAATATGACATTTTAATAACAAATGTACCTATAGCTTTATGCAAATAATTCGTAGCATGTTAGTTTACAGTTGCGGATACAAACAAAAGCATGCAGATCATGAATTTTACATGTTTTTTAAAACGCGAATACCATATTTGTATTTACCTGTGATGTTTTATTCCGTGTCTCAGTTATGTGGGGCTAGGTACTCTGCGGCCATGTTGACTAATTTATTTGTTATGGGAGGATAACTGTGTAGACGAGACAGCTGCTATTGCATTCAGTGGGCATCTTCACCGTCTTCTCAACAAGTCTTCATTGAGGTGCGTGACTCCGAGGACATAGCTCCCGTTTTAAAACGAAATTTAACGAAATTTAAAATAATGTGAGCTTACACAGTACAAAGAGCTTCTCCAGTTCTTCTCTGTGGCAATTTATAGTCGGTTGTGTTGAAATAAGCGACTTTCAGCTGCTCCTTTAGTCACATTGGTCACAAGGGGTCGCCACAGCGAGTAAGACTGCATATTTGATTTGGAAGATTTTTACACCGACTTCTTGACACCATTGTGACTAAAGGAAGCAATTGAAGGTAGTTTATTTCCCGACGCAACTCCAAAAGGATTTGTGAGCACTCCTGGAATCGAAGAGGGATCTTTGAGTTTTTATGCGAATGTTGCTATTGCTAACTGAACATGGCTTTAATGGTATTATTTATCACTAATGGATTTTAGTCATTGTGGTGTTTGCTACCATCTGCTGGTCAAATGGGGGTAAAGCATAAGAAATGTCAAGGTAGGAAAAAATGAATAGCAGTCTTACCACAAGGTCCAACTGCTCTGGAACTTTCCATCACACCACTGGAGTAGTGCGGTGTTGTTCTCCTTGTATAAAGAGTGATGGAAAAGTCTTAAAACTGACTACGTTTTTAGTTTTCTTTTGGAAGACCCATGTGCAGAAAATAATATATGTTATGAATTACAAATTACAATTAATAAAATTAGTAATCTGATTTAATAATAACTGATTTAATAAATAATTTAAAAATATAATGAAGAAACGTTAGACCCACTGAAAAAAATCTAACCATAAAAAAAAATCAAAATTTGGGCTTGCTACGGAAAAAAATATAGGCAAAATGAAAATTTATTTGGAATGATTGTGTGAAATAGTACGATTTCTTTCCAGCATCAGACAATAACAACATAAATAACATTATCAGAGGCCTGTATTATGAAACAATATTTTGGTCTTGGTGAGGTTAGTTTTCATTATTGAGGTGGTTGCTTGCCAGGGTACATCACAATGGTAACTTGCAGTAGAGTATATAGAAAAGTACATAAACCTGAAAATAGTATTACTGGTCATAAACAATATTGAGTTGAAATTTAACATAAAAATGAATATATTCAGATCATATGCCTATCTCATCCAATCTGTAGCACCGTCTTCTGCAACACCAACCAACTAAAGGTCCTTCATGACATCCATGATGGTTTCCCTCTTTACCTCCTGCCTGACAGCTCCATCCACAGCATCTTTTGTCCAGTAAGCTGTCTTTCTTTTGCACTTGCTCAAACCATCTAAGTCTTGTTTCCCTAACTTTATGTTCATGCGACTCAACCTGTCACTCTGATATACTGATTTCTAATCCTGTCCCTCCTCACTCACATAAAAAATCTAAAGATCCTTTAGGTTTTCATAGCTTTCGTAGCTCGCCCTCTTGTCTTTTTCTTAGCGTCACCATCTTCAAACCACACATCTTAGTAGATGACATTTTCATGTTCATGTCCTTTCACTCTTGCTGCTGTCCTTCTTTGACAAATCAACCCTGATACTCATCTCCACCTGCGTCACCCTGCTTTGACTCTCTTCTTCAGCTCTTGTGTGCTGACTGTTTTTTAAAGTGTTGATCCCATGTGTTTAAACTCCAAATAAAATATATTAAAAAATGTAGAATTGTTTCAGAAAGTTATTTATTAGATTAAATAAACATATGATATTGTACTTCACTAACTTTGTATTTAAAAATATAAGGTAATAACATATTTATTATTTTAAATTCAAAGCAATTCCCGATTATTGTTCACAAAGCGGATTTGTATGATACAGGGGCCACTGACCACAGGAGGAATTAATTGTACAATTTGTACAAAGAACAGTATCCATAAAAACAAATAGAAATGTTGAAAACGTGGAAACATGGGTAAAGGGGGAAAAAAACACCAGCAGTCCACGCAAAATAGCAAAAACAGCAAAAAAGGAAAAATATTTTTAAAAAATTGGAATGGTGGGATAATCATATAGTGTTACTACACTTTAAAAATAAATAAATAAATATCTATCTATCTCTCCCTCTCTCTCTCTCCCTCCATATATATATATGACCTTGGTTTTGAAATATGCTTCAGTTTCTTTTTTAAAAGCAAGAGAACTGTGTTTAATATTTAAAAAGTACACTTTTTAGATATAAAGTAGAGATTGACTACAAAGTATTCTTTCTTTTATTTCGGAGGTGCTTAAAAGCGACATGACGTCATAAACCTGCGACGCACGTGTGAGCTTGGTGAGAGAAGAGCGATGGCTCATGAGAGGCTACAATTCCATGAAATGGGCTTAGACGACCGCCTGCTAAAGGTAACAAACTTCGAGGCTGTCGGGGGAGCTGTGAATTTTCAGGTGGAGAATAAAATCCTCCGAGAAGTTTGAAAATTAGACAGTTACTTCGGGAGTCGGAACTGCTCGCTCGGTGGCAGAGTTTAGTTTTTATGCAAACATGAAGTTGTGCGTAGGTGAAATTACTAGACATGGAAAAATGCTGGATTACAGAAGTAATAGAAATCATGTCAGTTGTTTTCTAGTATAGACGCCGTTTCGCACTTTTATCAAAAGCTAATAACAGTTTGATTACCCTACATTGTTTTTGACTTTCTCCTGGTTGTAACTGTCTTCCTAGTGTCCCGTTTATCATGTATGACAAAATCCGGTTATAATGATATTTACTTAAATGGGAATTCAGTTAAGACATAAATTGATTTCGACATAAACATGCATACACAGACGCCACATTGAGGGAGGGGGCTGACCCGTTGCTGCGACCCGTCAGCGCGTCCGCCATATTGAATTTGTCCTTGTTTTTTTAGCAGTGAAACTACAAAACTACTACAAAAATTATAGATCCGTGTTTCATTGTATGCAATAAAATTTTACGGTTAGAATGTGAAACAAAAAAGGGCTAGTTCCAATTTTTGTTTTGCAAATGTAAGGTGCACTACAAATTAATTTGTTTATCATTATTCTTGTTGTTGTTAATAGACAGCTGTTCTCCCTCAGCTACAGAGAACAGCTGTCTGTTCTCCCCCTGTTCACTAAACAATAGAGTAAAACACATAGTAGAACAATGACAAAATGAAGAACAAAAAAAAAAACCACATACACGCAAGATAAAATAAAAAAGGTTGGGCAGATATACAAATTTTATATGTAACAAGTTTATTCCTGGACCACTTCACTTCGACTGTCCGTCATTTTTGTTCAAAAGATTTCTTCACCAATATGCAAAGCATCTTGGGATAAGGTGGGCCTCGAAGGGGGCTGCATTTGGGGGAGCCAGCTCAGACTCTTTTCTGTGTGTGTGTGTGTGTGTGTGTGTGTGTGTATGTAAATGAACTCCAGCTCCATGTTAAACTGCTGCTGCTGTGTTGCCAGTCCTTTTGTTGAAATTTTTTTTGCAGAGTTTGTTTGTTTTTGTGGACATGCTTGCTGCTTTTTCATTCATTTTCAGTCCAGCCCTGTACCTCCCTGTTTTCAGTGGGGTTTTTTGTTTTGTTTTGGGGTTTGTTTTTGTGTGTGTGTTAAGCGCTTAAGTGTAGAAAAAGTGGTTGTGTGATTGAGTAAATGAGACATGTTGTATAAAGCACTCTGAGTGCTCAAGTAGATGAGAAAACTGCTCCATTTACATTTAGCACAGAGCAGTCAACCTAGCGAATGCTCTGCACCAAATATTAAACTGAGATTTGTCTGACATTTGTCTGTGTCACTATAATAATTTGTTTCACCTCTGGGTTTTTTTGTTTTTTATTCTTGACTCAGGCAGTCGCAGATCTGGGATGGTCAAAGCCCACTCTGATCCAAGAAAAGGTAATCCCTTTGGCTTTAGATGGAAAGGACCTTCTGGCTCGAGCCCGGACTGGGTCTGGGAAGACTGCCTCATATGGTATACCTGTCATACAGCGCATCCTGGCTTCCAAACAGGTGAGAAACAGCAATAACCTTTTTGGAAGCAGATTCAAATGCTGAGTTTACACACTGTAGGTTGATATTACTTTCATCTTAGATGATCTCTGCACCTTAGACAATGTGACTCTCCAGGTTTTGTTTTTGTTTTTTATTGTTTAGTGTATAAAATTAAAAAAAAAAAAATGGTGTTCCCATTGCTTAGGATGATGTTTTCTGTTCTCCAGATAATTTGTTTTACTCCAGAGTTGTTTATTCACTGTTTGTTGTTTCTCCTGTTAGACTGTGCGTGAGCAAGATGTGAGGGCTCTGATTGTGGTGCCAACCAAAGAACTGGGTCACCAAGTTCAGATTATGATGAGACAGTTAACGGCGTACTGCTCCAGGGACGTCCGAGTGGCCGACATCTCTAGCAAGGTTGATCTGTCAACACAGAGGTCAGCACATTTCTTTCAGTCAGAAAGCTGAAGCGGTCTGTTCAAATAAAGTCTGTGTGGGAGATACTGGTCCACGTGGTCTGAATAGTTTTTATTTATCGTTTAACTTCAGAGTAGTCCACAGAAAAAAAACAGTGACCACAATATTGCTGTCATCAGGTTACTTATGTTCTCACTTTGGTTCTGATTAGTGCCAACATGTATGGAACATGTCAGAAGATGGGCGCAGCTGTGTGTGGCTACAGTAATCTCTAAAACATTGTGGAGGCCTCGCCATGCTTTAGAGCTGCATTTCAGCCAGTGGTGTTTGGGATCATGTCAATACTGATGGAATTATGAATACAGTAAAGTAGAATTTGATCTATCATGGTACAATGGTACTGTAACGTGTGTATTTGATTTCATGGTACAGTCATTTTTTTAGTATTTTATTAATTAATTAATTTCTTGTCTTCTTTTTTTGTAAATCTGCAATAATTTTGCTAGTGAACAGTCCTCCTTGTTCTTTTAATTTTAATTGCTCTTACCCCTTCCTGTTTAATGCTTTGCTTGGGTTTATTGTTCTGTTGTGCATTTAGCAAGCTCAAAAGTCCCTGATTGTGTGATAAGAATCTAAAGACTTCAAGTGCCTGCATTTTTCCACAGTATTGCAGTTATATAATATTTTTAAATCCGCAAAGTGTAATTGTGGACTTCATAGATTAATAAAAAAGTCCGTGTTGTCAAACGAGGAGATGTATTTTAAATGATCACTTTTATGTGTGGACAGGCCCATTTTAATGGAGAAGCCGGATGTAGTTGTGGGGACGCCATCCCGTGTGCTTGCCCATCTCAACGCACAGAACCTGGTCCTGCGTTCTTCTCTTGAGATGCTGGTGGTAGACGAAGCCGACCTAATCTTCTCTTTTGGCTTTGAGTCTGACCTGAAGAACTTGTTGTGGTGAGAGTGTACAGATTTTCACCAAAGGGAACTTGCTTCATGCAAGCGTCTCCTGCTGCTGTTTGTTTTAAAATTTGCATTAGAAAGGTGGTGTTTTTGTTTGTTTTTAACGTCCAGGATTTAAATGAGAGATTCCCAGCCTTTTTAGGTGAAAGTTGCATGAAACTTACATGTGTAATAGTGTTATAGGTTATAGCCTTCTTATGAATATGACACAAGCTAATAATGTTTTCAACTCATCCATTTTCCAAACTAATTTAAATGTGA